TCTCCATGATGACGTGGAGTCATTCCATACACCGACTTTTAAATGCTAAGTCCGTGGTCGATATAGAAAATGATGGGATATTTTTTTTTTGCCTGACTTCTCTAAAACAAAAGAGAGAATTTTGATGTTTGCTTATTGTCTATTGACCTTTCTGTTATAAAAAAAGTCACTTATCAAAAAGCACTCCCGACCCGGTGCTTGTCTCATGGTGGACCACTAAAAAAAGGACAAATTAAAATGTTGAAATCGATGACGGCGATCACCACCCTCAGCCCCACTCTGCTTTTTTTCTCTTTTGGATATAAACAGGAGGGAGAGGTACTACGATTGATGGGGGGAGGGTCCATAATCCTCCTGGTGAATAGATCCACCTACTGTTTGTGTTTGGACCTGGGCCCCCATCTCTGTCCCGATCTGTTCTAAAAGCCAGCGTCATGGCCTAAAGTTGATTGTTTGCTTTTCTGTTTCCTACTTTGCCCAAATTTCGGTTCATTTCAACTCCTAGCATTAATTGTGAAAAACTCCGCACCATAAAAATTCAAAAAAGTCTCGTGTGTGAAAAAACACAGAAAAAAGATTGTATCAATATTATTATTATTATTATTATTTGTTTTTACAAATAATTCATGTTAAATTTTTGAGTAAAAATTACTCTCATTCATTCAAATTTGCTTAAATGATAACTGTTGATTAATAATTATTTAATAACTTTGTTAAAAAAGATATTATGGTAATTCAATTTTACATTTTTTATTATTCATTTGATCAAAAATTAAAATATTATTTGATTCATTTAAAAATTATTTTTAAAATTTATCATTTTTAACTTAAAAATAAAAAAATATAACTTAATAATTTTATTTTATCATTTTTTAATTTTAAATAATTTTTATATTATTTTTTATTTTTATTTAAATGTTGAAGTAAGAATAGTTAAATGTCATTTAAATTAAAAAAGAGTTGGGTATAATTTTAAAAAATAAAAAAATTATTTAAAAATTTAAAAATAATAAAATTAAATAATTAAAATGAATTTTTTGTTTTTAAATTATAAATAATAAATTTTAAAAATAATTTTTAAATAATAAGAATTGATATAAGTGCCATTTAAGTAAATTTAGAGGAAGGAGAATATTTTTTACCCTAAATTTTTTATTTCAAAATAAATTTAGAGTGCAAATTAAGAGAAACTTGGTATTCATCAAAGAATCCAATGGATTATTCTTTTTTAGTCTCAAAAATACATAATTTTAAAATTAAGATATACTTTTAAAACATAGTGTTTTAGAGGTAAATGAGATTATTTTTTAACATATATTTTGAATGATATTTTTGAAACTATATTTTTTTATACATTATTTATAATGTAAGAATTTGTGTAAAAAATAAATATTTTAGAGGTTAACAGAAAAAAAAATAAGAAACTTATATAAAAATTGAATTTACAAAATTCAAAAGAAAAGAACTAAAATATAAAGCACAAAAATATTAAGGATTAAATTGAAAATAGATTAAAATTTCATCTACTTTACCATGGTCATTAGTCGACGGTGAAGAAGTGTCAATCGACGTCAGCAGTTGCACAGGAACTTGACCTTCCCCTGGGCTGTGAAACTAGAGACCGACAGCGACAGAGAGCATTTGGGAGGGACAAAGACGAGGTCGGTCCTTACAGGGATTGAATCGGCCGTCGTCACCTGGTTCAATGCATTCCGTCACTACGTTTGCCGTCGCTTTCATTCACCGCTGCCAAGCATTTGTGAAGGATGAAGACAAGGCCGATCCTTGCAAGGATTGAATCAATCATTGTTACCTGGCTCAATGCATTCGCCATTCCCTGCTTTCACCTTGACATCGTCATCATCGCCTGCAGTGTTTGGTGACCATGGTCCAAGCCTGTTGTCTGATGACTATGGTTCAAGCCCGCTGTTCGATAACCGGGGTTCAAGACCTTCGCCTGTAGTGTTCGATGACCATCGTAATTTTTTTTTCTTCTTCTTCTTTTTTTTTATAAAAAAAATAGAACAAGTTCCTCCAATTTTTTGGAGTACTTGCTCATGAAACGGCTCGAAAAGCAAGCCTCAAGAGGATGATGTTTTAATTTTAAAATAAAGACATGTGGCTCTAACGTCTTAAAAAAAGACCTCCCAACTCTTTTGGTCTCTTTGAAAGATATGTTTCTTTACCCTTCCAAGAGCAGTCATTTGAATGCTGTTTTGAGCTCTGGTAGCTCTTTTGGTTTTTCATGTTTCCTTCACAATTTTTATACTACTATCATTATATATGGTTATACGTATAAAATTATTTTACATATATATATATATAGAAATTTGTTATCAAGGTAAAATTAAATTTTTTAAAATGAAATAAGGATAGGAAAGTAAATGAAAGGAAATGTGTGCGTGTATAATCCACCCACACTACAATACGAACTCATACTTAACATGGACTTGGCAATTATTGCCACGAGGGCCAGGCCTACATTGAATTGTTATAGCTATGAATGAAGCCCATGAGCCAGGCCTATGGACAAGATTCATAGCCGAAGAAGCTAAGATGAGAACTCGCACACTGACAATCGGACTAGGGAATGAAAATTTGAGAATTTCCAAATTTGTTCGTTTGTCTCCTAAATTTACGTATATTTGTTCGTTTCTCTCCTAAATTTCCAAACCTAGCATTAGTGATAATGCATATACATACACATTCAGGCAAGATAGCCAACCGTGGGCAAGAGCTAAGGCAAACAACAATCTCTCAAAAATAATTTATTTAATATTAAATCTTAGCTTAGAGAGTCTAAAATTATAATATTTATTCTATCAAATTTGTTACTAATTTAATAATTATTAAAACTACTCACTTATTAAATCAAGACATAGCGTCAAATACAAAACTCTAAAATCTATAAATTTTTGATCAATTCAGTCCGGAAAATCAGAAACTTAACAAACTAAAAACCAAACGACATCAACACCAACCCGAGATTTTTCCTGCTACACCCAGACCAATGATGTTTCAGGTGGTTTTGGCTGTACGCTCGGTGTGTCATAGTAATGTTCAAGGTAAACAGGTCTTGTTCGAGAAGAAAATGACAATTTTAATAACTCAACTACCATAGAAGTGACAATCCCACGGTGATGAAGCCATGCATGTTTAGATCTGCGGCTGACATCGAAGAGATCTTAAGTGTTGGATTGTCGAGAGTCTCAATGTTCAGATCAGAAGAGATCTGAAGACAACAACATCCAAAGACGATGAGATATAGGGTTCAGATTTCGGAGAGACTACCGTTTACATCTGAGGCAATGACAATCCAGATGATAAGACCTAACTGTTTGGACTTCAGATCATGAAGACATTTCAGAGAGGTAGGATTTGGTCTATGGATCATGGAGACACGTTAGAGAGAAAGGGAGAGGCAAGCCACACGATGGAATTTTGGAGAACTTATTATTTAATTTAAAATATACAAAAATGAAATTAAATATTAAATCAGTTGTCTTGATTGGTTCAAAAAACTATTTTGCAACACAAACCATATCAAACCAAAATATCTGAATGTTCAAAAATCCTAAACAAACTGAAAAAGCCGAATAGACCTAACCTAACAAACCAAGATGTGTCAGATGGGTAATTCAGTTTCAACACCCATATCAGAATAAATCAGCATACAGTCAAATAAAAAAGAATATAAAACATTCTAGCAAATACAACAATCTTAACCCCGCATGAAACTCGTAAGAAACACTATAACAAATCTAAGTTCAGGGGCAAACGAAAAGGTGAAAGATTATGATTGGCAACAGAGGGTCCACCAAATAACCATAATAAAGTCAACTCTGCAACAAAATTCTTAACAAATGCAACAAAATTCTCAATTTGCTTATATAACGTGCGAGAACACTAATTGTGACAGCTTCAGCATAAACAGTCAGCCTCTTGTTAACAAAACCATCAGTACATCCATCCACTGCAATATATCAAGAACTTCAAAAGCCATTTAGCTATATGCTTCAATGTCCATTCACGTAGTTAAATACCACAAAATTGCTCCAGCTCAATTAGATATCTACTTGTTCTTTTGTCATCCGGAAACATGATAGATTAAAACCATTGAAATATTTGAAAGTGATTACACATTAATAACCACGCAACCATACACACGACATTTCAAATTGTTCACAGTAGAACCCAGTTAAAGTTTGTTTGGTACCAAAAAGCCCTAGTTTGTTTGAGGGCTTTTGCAAAACCCAATATAATGATTTTTATTTTTTTTTTTTTTTTTATTTTTTATTTTTTACTGATGAGGGCTTGCCCTAATTAAATCAACAATCACAAGCTCAAAATCTACCAAAAAGGCCCCTTTATTTATTTATTTATTTATTTAGTTTTTTGCAAACTACCATTATCCTAATCATGCTGGTCCAACAATTTCACTATGACTAGATATATATACCAAACAACATCTAATGGGCTCAACCTAACTCAAAATAGCATCAATTATCAGGCAAAGTTCGGAATTCTGCTAAATTTCTCCTTCTCTGGTACCCAACACTTGCAGTCAACTCCAATACAGCTCTAATTTCACAAGCAAGCTCACGTTCAGTGCAAAAATCTAAGCCTATGCTTAGAAATCCTACAATATTTTTCCCTCAAACAACAGAAATAACCTACTGCAAATTAAGATCAATGAATACAAATTACAACAGCTCGTGATATATGTTTGGCCATAAATGTATAAGACAAGGCAATCTCATCAGAAAATAAAAACGTCATTAAGAATCAACATATACGCATCGGATCTCACATGAAAATAACCACAACAAACAGATCCAACATTATGCGAATCAGTTTTATGTTAATCAAACTCGAAATGTAACAATCTCTCATTGACTGCAAAATTCCAACACTTCGACCTTTCAAAGTTCAAACCTAACCACAAAATGCCAAAACTGAAAACGATAAATCTAACAGAAAATATAACCAATACCAAAACCCTAAGCGGTGAGCACAACGGCGCCACCAGCCTCCTTGATCTTCTTCTCGGCGATCTTTGAGACGAGCTTGGCCTTCACAACAACAGGCTGCGAAGGCGGCAACACGCCCTTGCCCAACACCTTAAAGTAGCCAAACTGAGTAACATCGATCATGGGGGCATTGCTGGGGGAGGCCTTGTCCTTGACTTCCTGAGGTACGAGAGACCACAGCTTGTCGATGTTGACGATAGGGCAGTAGAACTTGTTGCGGAGCTTGTGGAAGTACCTCATACCGACCTTGCCAAAGTAACCAGGGTGATACTTGTCGAATAGGATGCGGTGGTGGTGCATGCCTCCAGCGTTTCCGCGACCACCAGGATGCTTCCTGTGCTTCCCAATGCGGCCATGGCCGGCGCTCACGTGGCCACGCTTCTTCCTGTTCTTCTTAAATCGCGTGGTCATTTTCTCTCAGCGACTTGCTCTGTCTCGCTCCTGAGGGAGATAGGGTTTCTGTGGAGCGGCGAAGAAGGGTTGCGGGTTCTGAGGCAATTTATACGTAACACGAAGAGGAGAGGGGACGGACTCGTTTTACCGTCTTGCGCTTTTCTATTTTGTTCCTAATTAGAAGTGCAGACACCCTGACATATAGGCTATTTGCAAAGTGGCCCTGATGTGCAATTCTTATATCGTTACTTTAGATTTTGACGGTCAAGATAACGGAAAGGAGGCGGGAGGAGGAAAGGAAAGTGGAGTGGATCGGGCCGGGTGGGTGGCGTTTGATCTTGGTCAACAATTTCAGAAACTTGCCTAACCGAGGAAAGGGTATGAGTCAGCTTATACAAATTGATATTAATTAAGTCTTTTAAAAGTATTTTAAAATTATTATACTGGTAAATATCACTTAATATTAAACCCCACATATTATTATTATTTAATTTTTAATAATTTTATGATATTCTTGTGTTACTTTATGCACAGCTACAATCACCATCTTGGTGTTGGATCCAAGCTGAGGAAAATTCCAATGGCCTACTCGCTTGATAATCAAGCTAATCCAATGGATTTGGCCTGTTAAAATTTGTGGTCAGTTCTTTTAACCATTTGAATTATCTTGACAGCCTCCACATCACATCCCCCATGAAATTACTGTCTGCATGTGTGAAAACTGAACGGGATAAGTGAGGCTTCTAGATAAGAATTACTGAATGGCAAGAAATTACCACGACGATGGCCTGGCTCGCAATTAGGCAGATATCGTCGTCCGCTCCCGCTCTCCTGTTACATTTTCATACAGCTACATGTGTCCAAATTGAGATTCTCTAAAGTTTTTTTTTTTTTTTCCATAACAAAAAACAAAAAAGAAACCTGATAACTTCAAAATTTTTTGAAGCTTTTCTTCTACTACTAGAAACAATCACTTAACTTCAAAATTCCTTGAACCAACCAAATGCAACCCAAAACCCTGTACGGGTGACCAAGGCCATATTTTGTACACAAAATGAGGCAAACCTAAACATAAACCTACACGATGGCATCGTGACATCAAGAAATGAACTGCAGGCTTTCGCGTCAATGTAAGACTATCATTTTGCCAAGGTCGCTGAATCACCAATTGCTCACACAATTATATTGGACAAACAACAGCACATAAGAATGATCATAGTTGCATTACATATGAGCTTCTAAGGAATTCTTGCACTACATTACATATTACAAAAAATGTTCCTTCCAAACCATCCCATGAATACTAGAAAAAGAACATGGATCAGAACCTATTCTGTAAATTAGCTAAACCTATTTTGGCATGCATATCCAGCACTAAATATATAACCTAAAGGCAGTTTTGGAACTACCAAGGCCTCTTGGAACCAAGAGGGATAGAATTAGATCCTGAAATCAAAGACCTGTTGCCAAAGCCACTGCCCCCAGCACGTCCTCTGTTGCGGAAGTTTCCACCAGAACCTGAAAAACAAGACAAAATAAAAATAAAAATAATATCAACCACCCAACCAGACTAGAACATCGGACACTTCATACACTTGAAACTCCATGAGTACCTCCTAGATTTGAACCAGAAGAACGGGCCATGACAGACAATGGAGGAGGAATGATTTGCCCAGCTTCTTGCAGGATCTTTACAAGATCTCTTGCAAACTTAGCATTGGCATGTGTGAAGAACGTGAAAGCAGTTCCCTTGGCCCCTGCACGACCAGTTCTGCCAATCCTATGCACATAATCCTCCAAACTTGATGGAAAATCATAATTTATTACGCATTTTATGTCTTTCACATCTACAATCAACAAAGTATATACATCAGACAAAAGATCTGACCTGATAGAATAAATAAATAAATAAATAAACAAATGGAGGAAATGCAATGCAACCTTATCCCCGCACCCTAAGGATCTAAGCGACCATACATTAAGATAACACATTCATCATGTAAATGTGCCCACCTTAACTTAGCAGGGATAAGGAGCAGCTCCACCACAACTTCCAAATCCTTATGTCCAATCAATGAATACGCTTTGTATGAGTCCTGAGTCAACCGGGCTGTCACCACAACCAGCTCCACAACCGTGGAAAGGCAACAATGACTCAACTCTGTTACCTAGACACAATATAGGAGCGACAACACTGTTTGCAATTTAGTTAATGCAATCCCATAAAAGCCAGCTCTATGTACTATTCATATCAGAAAGAAAAAATGAGAAAAATTAACCTATTTATGCTGGCCTTCTTGCATGCAGTAGGCATTGACCAAAATCTTAACACTACGTAAAACTGTGCTCCCAGTGTCCATGTAACATGAGCTGTAAGTAGGCTGTGGCATGCAGAGTATCTCATGGGATGGTCCAAATAAACATAAGAACCTAGGGCCCATTTGGTATGAGATTCACTAATAAAACAATGTAAAATTATAAAATGAAATTCATTTGCAACATTTTCATTTTCTTCCTATTTAGTCTCTATTCTTAGAACTTCAAAAGCAATTAGAGACTTGTTCCCCACAGTGCAGGTGTCTTTAGAGTCCTCCAAATAGAACTTCTTTTTTTTTTTTTTTTTTTTTTTTTTTGTGGAGACCCAAAGCATGTTTGAAGGCACTATTTATGTTATCAAGAATGAGTAATGATTTTCAAAAATTCAAACCAAATGGACCTCAAAAATTCTCACACACCTGATCCATACTCATTTAGACTATGTTCGGTAGACAATATAAGATTATCCTGTCTCACCACATGTTCAATATGCTTAATAAACAAGTCAGATAAAGAGACGGATAAGAATACTTATCTGCCTAGAGTTCGATAGCTTATCCCTTTTTTTGGCACGGGTGGGGAGGGTAAGATAAGTTTTATCCCCCCTGAACAGCCCTTTTTTTTTTTTGGGGGGGGGGGGGGGGGGGGGTGACAACAATGTTTCTATTGTTCACAGGACAAATTACCAAATCAGTACTTAGCCACACCTGATGGCAACTCTTGCTGTCCAGCCAGCAGGGCACCATCACGGGCATGGACCGTACACCACTCCAGCATGCCTCCCAACTGTTGCCATTGCCCCCAATCCCCAATTTGGATGCAGATCTTCATCTATCTGACTCACAGATGAAGAAAGAAGACTCACAGCTAGCCTCCCAGACCTGAAAGCCCTGATCAAAGAAACTAGACTTGAATCCCACAAAAAAGACCCCCAGATCACCCAAGAACCCTCTGTCTCCACCCTAATCTGATCCTATGGCCTCGCAAGCATGTTTGATCATGCCCTCAGAATCTACAACTAGATGGACGAGCTCGGAGCCCCAAGGTCAATGACCTTGTTCAATGCTCTCTTTGTGGTGTGTAACAGGCCAAAGCTTTTCAACCAAGTTGCCTAATGTTGTGGCTTACGATGTTAAATTACTGCAGTGACAAAGCATCGAACCCAAATAAGTGAAGCAATTGATGGAGGAAATGAACAATATTGGGCTTCTGAAAATCGAACAACTTCTGGAAATCTCAGAGGGTGGAGACAAATGGCGACCATCACTGCTTTGTCAGCACTCACCACCAACATCAGATTCTGCTGAATTCCTCTTTGAAAGAGTCATTCCAGCGAACAGTGCTTTGTCTTCCTAGTGAACAAGGGAATTTCGGTAGAAGTAAGACTTATCATGCTATTTCCTTTTTTTTTTTTTGGGGGGGGGGGGGGGGGGGGGGGGGCGTGGGGGGAACTAAACCATACCAAACAAGGGATAAAAAACCCAAACACTGTTTAGTTAGGATAAAATTATCCTAACCATAACTTAACCATCCATATCCCATCCAACCTACCGAACATGGTGTTAACTGAGCAGAAGGATCAAGTCCACAAAAAAATTGTTCAAAACAGAAGCAACTGCTGGCCTCAAGACATTACAGCACCCCACTTTGAATCCAAACCACAACTTTAATCCCATAAAAGTGTACAGCTGCCGGCTGACTTACCTATGTTCAGAACTAAAAAAGCCTAAATGCAGTGTATAATAGGCTACACGTCCCTAAATCCTAACACACAGTGATCCTACCAAGACCACGTGCAGCAACATCGGTGGCAGTCATTATAGGACTTCTGCCACTTTTAAACTCAGCAGGACCCAATCTCTTTCAGCCTGATTTTTATCACCATGGATGGACAAAGCAGGCCACCCGTCCATTCTCAGTTGCCTAGTCACTTGGTCACATCCTTTCTTTGTTTCCATGAAAACAAGGATTCGACTTCCATCCATCACTTCCTTGAGCAGTCTAATAAGCCTGGATCAAAATAATGAAAGTGAGACATCATAATCACAACAGAAAAATAAAAGCATTTTTTCTGGTAGCAATTACAAAATTATACCTGTTATACTTTTCAACCTCTGTTACAACTTCAACAACCTGTCGGATAGATTGATTTGCTTTGAGTTCAGGGGAGCCAATGATTACCTAGAAATGTATTTTTAAGTATAGATATTACCAATCAACACATTAAGTATTTAAATATGCACATTTATGCCTATCAAACCATAAATGTTATATGGGAAAGTTAATAATTGGGAACCTTATATGGATTGCGTAAAAACTGCCTCGCCAGGGTTTCCACCTCCCTTGGCCATGTGGCACTCCAATACAGTGTTTGTCTATCTGGTCGAATCTGTAATGGGGAAAATCCTCTCAAGGATTCAGCTTTAAAGCTCAATGATGGCCCAACCAAAAAACATAAAAATAAAAATAAAAATAAAAAAGGCTGATGCAGCATAAATGATGCATTCTATCAAAATAAGTTCAATGTACAACAAGGAACAGAAGAACAGGGAACACACCAGCAATATGAAGCACACTCCTTCATACATCATATAAGGAGACAAACTGTACCATAACCAAGAGACCTATAGATGACATCTCATAAGACTAATAAAATGGAAATCCTAAGAAATCCCAGGCAAAATAATTCTTATGTCTAGGTGGTTCCATGTGATTCTAGCAACATCTTCGACTCAGTTTTAAACTTATCCTCCAAAACGACCCATTAACAAGTTTCAAAATCCAAACTCCTTTACCTCCAAAAAAAAAAAAAAAAAAATTCCCTTCTCCACTCCTTGACCAACAAAAGATTTTTCATCTATATTTCACAGACTTCAAGGGCATCCAATACTTCCAACCTTATTTCTCAATGAAAACTTGCATCAAAATTTATTGCACTTTCACCAACCATGCTACATGCTAGCTTAAAAAGCTAAAGCAAAGATATGCTTATTAACAAACAACCTTCTCTTTAAGACCAAATTCAACACCAAAGGCCAAAGTCATGTAAGACAATGTCATTGCTAGGTTACACATGGCAGAAGCTTATTCAGAATCAATAAAAAACACCATCGGACCAAACAAAAGAACAATAGTAAACAACTCAAGTTCCATAAGAAAATTAAAAACTAAATGACACACATCAACCTTGGACCAACCAATTAAGATTTATCAGTTCAAACAGTAGTCCAGCAGCCATAATCAATAAATATAACAAAACTCTTGCAAATATTAACCTGACAAACATCTGTGAACCAAAGGGAAAAGTAGTTGCAATATGTCAATAAAAAGATAGGGAATAAGGTACTAATTATAAAATTTTTCATGTTCGCAATTGCATGATTCTAAGTCCACTCTAGCTAGTTAACCAGGATGACAAAAAAAAGTAAAAAACTGAACAAATCCAACTGAGACATCCCAATGGATCTGAACTGACAATTAACCTTTTTTTTTACTGTTTAAAAAATGAATGTGCAAATATGCTACTAAACATATCTATCAGAGTAAATGGACACAAATTATTAGAAAATTAACTATAAAACATGGAAATTATTGGATAATACAATTAGTAATGCAAAACAGAGACCAAAATTTAAGGTTTAAATTTTAAAGATAATGAAGGACAGAGAGGCCACAAATCCAAAGGATAATTCTCCAGCCTGGTATAGACAAGTCAGCCAGTCAGAACAGGGCATGAAAGAATCATACTTGTGATACAATTTTCCGGATCTGAGGCTCAAAACCCATGTCCAGCATACGATCAGCCTCATCTAAAACAAGGTATGTCACTCTTTTCAAGTTTGTGTGTAGAGCTTCTAACATATCAATCAGTCGACCAGGGGTTGCAATGATAATTTCAACACCTGACATAGGAAACATACAATTCCTTGATATCACCATGGGCCATCCAAAGCACACAAAGGACACAAATATGTCAAAGATTGAAGAATACTCCAAATGAAGATCAACCAAATACCTCGTCGAAGATCACGATTTGTGGTCCTTTCGGGGCACCACCATAAATGCAGGTGCTTCTAATGTTAGCATGTGACCCAAATTTCAGAGCTTTTCCTGAATTTGAACAGCCAATTCTCTAGTTGGCGCTAATACAAGGACAATGGGACCTTCACCTTGTGCTGAATTATGTCAAAGTTCAGAATACAAGTGTAACAAAGGGCTATGTTATGTTAGGCACGATTGGTAAATACAAAACCTAATCGAGGCTGTGCATTAACATGGACCAAAGCTGGTAGCAGATATGCCAAAGTCTTTCCAGAACCAGTTTCAGCAATGCCAATTAAATCCCTTCCTTTTAAAGCCATTGGCCATCCCTGAGCTTGAATTGGAGTTGGCTCAATAAAACCCAATCGACCAATAACCTCAAGGCAATAACCTACAAAGTCATATACAATCAATCAATTTATACATAATATTGATACAGAAGCTATAGCTAACCTCTACTCCCTATGCTAAAATATACCGGGAAAATTTGCCTCCTCGAACATTCGAATTGGCTTTGGAACATCATGGCCTTCAACAGTGATCTCACGTCTTGCACGGTAAAGCATAGCATCTTGTTCAGACATTGCTCTTACTGAAGGACTCTCCACGTAGAAATTCTTCTCAAAGGGAACCAAGTTTCCAAAATCTTGCTTAGGAAGAGCAATATTATCCAAGTCATCCCTTGATCTCCATGTCTACCACCTCTGCCACTGCCACGCCCTCCATCAAATCCCCTCGTATGCCGTCCAAAGCTCCTTCCACCGCCTCTTCCAGCATTGAAACTCCTGCTACCTTCCCTCCCTCCATCAAAATTTCTCACACCACTTCCACCAGCTCTGCTGCCACCACGCCCAGAATCAAACCCTCTCCCTCCACCGCTTCGCCCACCTTCCCGACCCCTTCCACCACCACCACCTCTACCTCCGCTATCACCACTTCCCCTTCCACCAACAGCACCTCCACCACCACGGCCCACGTGGAAACCTCTCGCAGCTGCATCAGGCTGAAAGGGTGGGTAACCATTAAAACCACCAACTCCTGGCACAGCCCCCCACCACCACCACCAGCATAAGGCTAGGTGGGCCTCCATACGTTACAGGACCAGCGCGGCGTATGAGGGAACTGCACCGCCCATTCCGCCGCCCATCATCGGCGGCGCGACTGGAGGCGGCGGTCCCATTAGGTCACTGCAAAAGCATAAACACACAACAAAAACACAATTTACCCACGCCAGGAAGTAGAAACATTTAACGCACGCAATTTGTTATATCCACATAGATAAACATAAGGGCGCATATGGAAAAGTAATGAGGAGAAATATATATATATATATATATATATATCCGAATAAGAGCAAGGAAGATTGAAATTTAATATGTGTGGATCCGTACCTTCGACGCTCGCGGTAGGAGTGAGGGTCGGCGTATCTTTGGTCGTAGTGGTTCATTTTAGAGAGCGATTAATAGATTTTTCGGTCTGAGTCGTCCCAATCTGGTCTCCCAGGTGTCGGACGAAACTAGGGTTTCCCAAAAGGTTAGAGAGGGAAGAGGAAGTTCTTTCTCGATCTGCCGACACGATCAAAAAGAATTTTTCCTTTCAGCTTCCGGTTGGAGCAATGAATTCAGATCCCAGAACGCTCTTTGATTACCCCCTCTCGTTCTCGGTTGTTTGGGAAGAGGGAAAATATCTGAAAAGATCAACAAAACTTGCCAAACTCATAAAGCCTTTTATGTCGCGGTGGCCATGGAATTTTTTACTTAAAATTACACAGACCTCCTCAACTTTTGTCTAATATCACTTGAACCCTTTGAAATTTAAAACGCATCAGCTAAGTCCAAAGTTTAATGACCAAATTACCCTTTCAACCTTTCTAAATAGCAAATGCACCCGTCAGCTAGCTCTTCAGATCACTTACCCCTCTCCCGTTGTACCTTTTTTGACTTCTTGTGACCCTAAACATCTCCTATAAATGTCAACGTGCACTACAAAATGGAAAAAGTGATTCATGCAACAACAATAGCCAATAACAAAATAATCAAAATTAAACCTCATTGTTGAATGGATTAGGAAAAGTTTATTAGAAGAAAAATCCTAAAAAATGTCAGATGTTCTTACAAATTGATAACACAGATAACACAGATTTGAAAAAATAATTAATGATTTGTTCCCCTTGTACAGATGACATGGCCACTTGTTCTTTCACTTGTCGTTCATCCCTCCTCCCACTAAGCCTCTGGCAAATTAAGAAGGAAGAGGAGTTTGGAACCACTGACGAAAGAATAATGCTTCAAGACTTGAAGTTAAGGCACTCCCACTGTGATTTTCACTCATGTAGACAAGTAAAATAAATTTTTAGAGCATCTGGGTCTGAAATTTCTTATAAAGCTGGTTTTGGAGGGTTAAGTGGTGGAGATAGCTTCAAGTGATACTTCATCGACCACGAAGAGATTGATCGAGAACCCGATTCTGATAGAAATTATCAAAGACCTCCTTGTTCCAGAGATTGATCAAATATCCCTTGTTGTTGATTGTTGTATTTGTGGTCAAGTAATATTAGAGTAACGAAAGAGGTTTCTAAACTGGTTATGGTGCGAATTATGATGGTTAAGTGACCCAATTGTGAAAATAACACATGACAGGGTAACCTTGCAGACAGCCTACAGTTGAAGTCTTTGGGCATCTGCTCCACCGGGGGGGAGAGAAGAAAGAAGGGAAAGAGAGAAAGAAACAATCCAAGATTGGTGGATAAACAGGCTTCTACTTTGTTTGTTCTAGAATTTTATTACAATGTCAACCTCCGTTCAACAGCTTGGTCTAAAATCATCCTATAAATAACCGATGATTTTCTCAGAACATTTTCTAAGTTAGATCGCGAGAACAAAGATCTGGTGGCTGGTTCAACCATCAGTGACAATTACATTTTTACTGTCAATTTACAGAAAATTCCTGTCGCGGGCGTATTTCTTGAGATTCCTAGTAGAATGGTCTTATCTGGTTATTCATCTCTTGAAACTGTTATATATTTAGGAAATCGTGGATGAATATTTGAAGTCACACGATAGGCCACTCGTACTTTCTGCTTTAGACTACTGAATGATTAAACTTGGCCAAATCACCATTAAATATCTGAGTTGCTAAGCATAGTTCATCTCTCTTTCTAGTTGATTCCTCCATGTGTCTTACATTGGCAGGATGAAGCTGACTTCTGTTATATGTTTCTAGTGGATGCTTTTCAATCTTCTTGTTCATAATCTGGTTAGAAGTGGCAGATAATGTTATATAGGATGTGCCTCCACTTCATATTGTTTTTTGTGGGTATACTGTTAACACCGATGCCTTAGTGCACAATGTAATTATACCACTGCCGACAAGAACCACCTCTGCCATTGGTATCAACTTAAAACCTGATGGGACTTAATTGTTTCATAAATTGACAAAAAACAATCCTTGAATTGGCAAAAGGAAGATCTATGTAGGACCTGATCTTGTTTCCTCCTTTTCTCTTCCACCTATTGTTCTTGGTTGCAAATCACAAAGGCATGCCGCATGAGTTCTAGCATATATTTGGAATAGTTGTCATGGACTAGTGCCTCCCATAGGTCATCGTTTACTTTGGGGGCTTGGAAGGGCTTATTGCTATTAAGACTTTTGCTTATCTAGTGCCTTCTGTACGGTGTCTACCTTCATGGTTAGAGTCTGGAACGTAAATGATTGGATGCATTTCCAAATGATGAAAACTGCTACCTTCAGATCTTTCAGCTTTGAGATACAAGTCCCTTAGAGGTTCTTGTCGTCTCTCTATCCCCTCGTCTCTCACTCAGGTTGAGGCTAGTAAACTGTTTGACTTGAAGAACCGAAATAACAGAAAGCGTTATCATGATTTCTTAATGCAGGCTGCGTTTTACCTCTTCAATACATTTGATTGGCTGTATGACTGTTCGCTTAGATTTGTTTAGGGGAATTTTACCAGTCACACTAGCTTCAACTTGGCCTGTGTGCTAACTGCTACAACTCCTCCTTGATAATTGAACAGCTTCAAGAGAAAGAAAATGATTTTGGGCAGACAATTCAGGAAGCCCGAATTTAAGGAAAACTAGTACATCACCATTTACGCATTTATTACTCAATGATGGTCCTGGATCTGCTTTAGAAAGCTATACCTAGGAAATTGTAAGAGAATGGTGGTCTTCATGATTCATATACCTATCTTCTATCTTCCTCATGGAGAGTGAGATAACGATATAGAAGCAAGAATAAAATGGTGAAGTGGGTTGGACCACTAATCCACTACATCCTTAGGACCAACTAATTGAGAACAATTAATTCGTTTCAAAAATTATTTTGCATTAGCATTGCGGTATTAGGGTGGGGGTTAACCTCCCGTTCCATAAGGTGCATGGGATAATTAGAATGAAAAATACTAAAAAACAAATATTATACACTGCGAACTGCAGGAATCTCTTCCTTTCTTTCCTCGTCTCAGTTGTTTTCTTTTGTTTTCCTCTTTTTATTTTGTGCATGCCATGTGGAAAAGACTATTGAAGTGATGGGCACTAACGAAAATGCCGGTCTGCGTGTGCACCTTTTCTCTGATCTCTTATAGTTTGGTCTATCTTCAATTATATATTTCTGAAGCTAATAAATCAGCTTGGTGCTAACTCTTCAGCATCGAATTTAGGAGACAAACATGGCAATCACCTCTCTTCTTGTTGTTCTTAAATTCTTGATGATCTTGTTTTCTGCTGGTTGGGTTTTACTCTGGCTTCTTAAGCCCACCGAAGTATGGACAAGAAAATGGAAAGAAGCTGAAGAAAGTGCAACTGCTACAGTGTTCGGATATAATGGTAATGTCTATTTCACGATAACAATTCAGTTACATGGGCAGAAAAGCTGCCAAAAATCCCATTTCTTGTGTGTTTTTCATTGACTTGGCTCTGTTATTTGTCAATTATTTTCACTGAGGAGCAGTTATTTGATGAAGTACTATACGTAGTTACAAAGTAAGTTATTCCAAACGTTGAAGTTATATTGGCTAATTTGCAGGACTTAATTTTGCTGTATATACATTTCCAGTTATTGCTCTTGCAATGGCAGGAATTATCTACTTGGAATTAACACGAAAGGAACCAAGAAGCAGGTGGGGAGCTACTTTTTCTTTTGATAACTTCCGTAAATCTACAAGACATGTCACATTAACCACTGTTAAATTTGGATGACAGACAAACGAGAAGTCCAGCAAAAGCTCTCTCAAATCCACTGATAGTCAATAGCTATTTGGGCGTCATCTCTGCAATTGAGATTCTCACTGTGTTACTCTTTATCCTCTCCTTGGCATGGACCTTTTACTCTCGTGTCTCAAATGACTTCAACAAAATGGTTCCCATGAAAAACTTGAAACTGAATACGTGAGTACTTTTGCTATAGTCCTAACCACTCCATGCAAAATGAAAACAAAAATTTGATGTTGCTTCTGTTGTTTCAGCTGGCAATACAAGTCCTATAGGGTTTCAATAAGGTTTGGTTTGCTAGCGGAAGCCTGCCTAGCACTGCTTCTTCTGCCTATTCTGAGGGCTTGGCCATATTCCAATTATTGGGCGTCCAGTTTGAGGCCTCTGTAAGATACCATGTCTGGCTTGGGACTACAATGATACTTTTTGCCTTCTTGCATGGTGCAGGCAACATTTTCATGTGGGGTGTCAAACATCAAATTCAGGATGAGGTCTTACTCCATTGATCCATCACCTCCTGTTTAGATTTGGTTTTGAACATTGTTTCCGTTTCTTAAAACATGTTCAAAAAACCCTTCTAGCAGATCGTTTTTAAATTTTGTTTTCTGAAGAATTTTCCAAGAAAAAGGCCCCCTTCTAGAAAACAATAAGAAAGGTAGTTCTTAGAATTGTCACAAATTAGTTTTGCTTGAACATGAAAATAATACGAGTTTTCAAGATTTCATTGTCTTCTGGTTTTAGAAAGCACAGAAAATGAAAATTGAAACAGAAGACAGAATAGAAATCCAAAACAGATAATTTGTTTAGTTTCTAACAGCTCTGTTAATTTCTCTTTTTTACTTGGGAACAGATGTGGAAATGGCAGAAAACAGGCCGAATATACCTGGCTGGTGAGATTACTCTTGTCACGGGGCTGGTCATTTGGATCACATCACTGCCACAAATAAGAAGGAAAAAGTTTGAAGTCTTCTACTACACACATCATCTGTACATAGTATTTTTATTATTCTTCTTGTTTCATGGTGGTGATAGGCACTTCTATACGGTTTTCGCCGGGATTTTTCTCTTCAGCCTTGATAAGCTGTTCCGGATCATTCAGTCAAGGCCTGAAACATGCATAGTTGCTGCTCGAATCTTCCCCTGCAAAGCTATAGAGCTAATTCTGCCCAAAGACCCAAGTAAACTTCCAAGCTTGTCATGTTACTGGAAAATGAATCAAGAAGACTAAAAATATCTAATATAACCATTTTTCTAATTAATTTCAGGATTGGTGTATACCCCAACAAGCACAATTTTCATCAAAATACCTAGCATATCTACCTTACAGTGGCACTCCTTCAGTATATCTTCCAGCTCAAATATTGATGAACACACCATGTCTGTTATAATCAGATGCGACGGATGGTGGACGAGCTCTCTTTACAGCCTAGTTCAAGCTGGTCCAGGGTCTCACGATAAGCAGATGAAGTGTCTCCCAGTTGCAGTTGAAGGGCCTTATGGACCTGCTTCCCTGGACTTCCTGAGGTGCAAATTTTGGGAAATTAGCACTTGTTTTTGCTTGCCTGCTTTTTGTGTTGAAGTATTTGGCTTAAAAAGCCAAAAAGCCAAACAATCCCAAATTCAGGATTTCTCGGATTCTAGGCATTTGAGCCTGTAACTTTGGCTGATTGATTTTTCCTTTTTCTTTTCTTATCTTTTTCCTGTTTCTGTACTGTTCCAGATATGATAGTCTACTCTTGATTGCTGGAGGAATAGGGATAACCCCATTGCTGAGCATTTTGCATGAAATTGACTCTATCAGGAATGGTAGCATAGGGAGGTTTCCTGCACAAGTACAGCTCATTTATGTTGTGAAGAAGTCCCAAGACATATGCCTTTTAGATTCAGTTCTGCCTTTACTGCTGAAACAGGCATCAGAACAATTCCATCCTAAAGTCAAAGTTTTTGTAACCCAAGAGCAATCTAGTGCAACCAAAGGAGAGATCCTTGACGAGTTCTCTCGGATCGAAACAACTAATTTCGACAGACAATATTCCAATTACGCCCCTCAAAAAATTGGGAATTCTCTCTTCGTGGCTGCCATTGTTGGCTTTTCTTCAATCATGTTCATCATCCTTCTCAGTTTGCTTCAACCGTGCTTCTCTTCACACGGGCAAGAAGAAGGCCTCTAAACAGAAACATCCCTCTTCTGTAATTGACATCTTTCTTCTATGTTCTTTTGCTGTGGCCATTATGAGCGGCGCCTTGGTGGCTATCGGTTTAAGATGGAGAAGGCTGAAGAAGGAGCTTCCTCCGACGTATCAGAAACACGGGAAAGAGATCAAACCGAGCTCAACGGAGAGACACCAAGCTCTCGAAGAAATTGAGATTCATTTTGGCGCAAGGCCTGATTTTCAAGGTACCATCAGATTCCCATTTTCTCCGCCAAGACTTCCATTTTCATCTACATTAAAAATTAGTAAGGACTCTGGCCTGCTTGGATTTAAACCATTTTATGTTTTTAAAAGCAGAAAGTCCGTTTAGCAGTTGGTTTCCTAAAAGCTGTTTTCGGGTGAATTTTCAGAAAATAGGCCACTATTAGAAAATAATAAAAAATTATTTCCAGAATTTTTAGAAACTATTTTTGCTTGAAAAAACCAAACAGTTGAGATTTCAGATGTTTTCTATTTTTGAACACACAGAAACTAAAATTAAAAACAAAAAATAGAACTTGAGTCCAAGTGAGTCCAAGGTACAAACTCTAAGATATTATTGGGTGTTTTTTGGTGGCAAACAATTCCCGTTTCCCCGACACTCACTAATTTCCCTTTCTTAAACTTGTTCCAAACATTGGGATGACAGTTTTCTTTTTTTTTTTTTGAAAACAAAAACCTCTTTGGTAGGTTGTTTATGGAAACAAAAACTGAAAACAGAAAATAGTAACCAGAATACAAATCCAATTAAAGTTACTCGTGGTTTTGTGAACTGGACAGAAATATTTTGCCAGTTTCCGAATGAAACGGGAGAATCCAATGTTGGGGTCTTGGTCTGTGGGCCGGAAACGATGAAAGAATCGGTGGCTTCAATGTGCCGTCTGAGATCTGAATGTATAAGAAAGAAGCCACGCTTCTGCTTCCACTCTCTCACCTTCAACCTCTAGTACACAGGCTTCAGCAGTTAGAAGGGCTATATACTCTACAATGAAGAAGCCCTCTTGTCCATAAGCTGCTTGCAATAGGGTTGGCTTTTGACTTTTCAAATACTTTCAATAACCATTTGGTGAATCCCTTTACAAAACATAGAAATGCTTGGGAGTTAATGTCCACCAATATCTTATCTATTGTATGATCTAGTAATGAAAAGTACTTGATGTGGGTAGGCCTCGAATTAATGTGTGTTCGGTTCTAGGGTGCATCCTGAAATTAGTTTCTAAAACTTGTCTACTTTTGCTTGAGCATTTGTTTTTAATTATTTTACTTTTGCAAAAAATAAATTATAACAAACTTTTTTAGTTCATTTATGTCACATATTAATAATTTGTTAAATAATAATTATTAATAAATAATTAAAATTCCCATTTACCAAGGCCGGTTTTTCAATTAAACAAACTTACCCAGACAATATAAAATTTTAATTTGATCCATGAAATAAGGAGCCGACAATAATTAAATTTAAATTTATCTTAAGTGTATATATAATATATAATAATGGTGTTTACTTGATTATAACACAAAAATAAGTGTGTTTTTTTACTAATTAATTTATTTAATCCGATTACAACACATTATGACACACTTAATTTTGACAGACATTGTGTCATGTTAACATGTATACAAGCACGATTTAATAATAACTTATTAATTAAATGTTAAAAATTATTTTTTTACTTTTTAATATAAATTGAAAAAAAAAAGTTGATGAATTGGGAGTTGAATTCTTAAATCTCTTAAATATTCTAATTATACCACTTGCGTTATTCATCCTTATGCATGAAATACTTAAGATGTTAAATAATGTAATATTGTTTGTAAATTTTCCTAGTGTTAATTTTAGTATTTATTTATTTATTTATTGATAACTTTAATATGATTTTTGTTACTTAATATATTGTAACTAACATAAAAGAATCCTATTTATTAAACAGGATATACATATGTACGTATGTTTATGTATTATGCTGTTAACATATTTAATAAATCACTGGAGTTAATATTTTAAATATTAATATGATTAAATAAGCATATGGTGCTGGTGTGTGTTATGGAAAAGCAATTTTCTTAACGAAATTGAATTAAAAGATAATCCTGATATATAAAATGATTTTGCTTTTGTTCCCCACTTCAAATGATGCAATTGAAAATATTGGAGTAGTTAAGTCAAAAAACAGGAACTGGGAATTGAAATTCAAGCTGGGACTTTTAGGAAGTCAGAATTGCTCTCTGTTAAACTAAATTCGAGTCGGAACTTGAAGCTGCGATGCCTGCTCTCCCCACTCCCCATCACCACCGGGGCCGCCGGATTCGGGCAAGAGAGCCCGGGGTAGCCCCTCGGCTTCGTCCCCTAACAAGACCGCCGCCACCTCCCTTATCGTAGGCCGGCGAAGCGGGTCAGGGTGGCAACAGGACAAGCCCAGTTTCAGCACCACCTCCATCTCCTCCGCCTCGTACTCCCCCTGAATCCTCGCGTCCGCGGCCTCCGCCATCCTCCCCTCGGTGTACTTCTGCCTCACCCAGTCTACCAGCACCATCTCCTCCTCCCTCTCCGCCTTTGCCTCTATGGGCCGCCGCCCGCATGCCACCTCCAGCACCACTATCCCAAATCCGTAGACGTCGCTCGCTGTCGTTGGCGCCGTCGCCGTCGCCATCTCGGGCGCCAGGTAGCCCAACGTCCCCACCACCCTCGTCGTCTTCGGTGCCTCTCCCTGCGTATACAGCTTCGCCAGCCCAAAATCCCCCAACCTCCCTCTCATATCAGAATCCAAGAGGATATTGCTGGATTTAATGTCTCTGTGAATCACAACCTGGCCAATCATACGATTATTCCTTCAACTTTTAACAATTTTGATAAGATTTTTATTTTAATTTTAACATTTACTAGCAACAGTTTGGCTTTTTCTAAAAGCAAATAACTCAAACTCTAAAATAAAAAATTTTAAAATATTAGGACGAAGTATATTATAATTCAAACTAGTATAGTAAGATAAAATTTGGATGAAAACTGTAATTCAAACTTTACCTGGTCCCAACCGTGGTGGAGGTAGTTCAAACCCTCGGCGACGTCGGCGAGAACTCTCCTTCGTCCGACCCAGTTCATTAGCTTCTTCGGTTTATCGAAAATCCACCGGTTGAGGCTTCCGTTGGACATGTAATCGTAGACGAGCAGCAATTCACTGCCCTTTCGGCACCACCCTCGCATTTGGACCAAGTTCTTGTGTTGCAGCCTGCCCATACTCGAAATCTCCGCCATGAATTCTCTGAGTCCTTGCTTCGAATCGTGGTTCACGCACTTCACGGCGACTTCGCTGTTGTTGGGTAGTTTTCCTTTGTATACTCGGCCGAACCCCCCTGCTCCAAGTAGCTCGTCTTTCGAAAATTTATTTGTGGCCTGGCTTAGCTCTTCGTAGGGGAACCGATGCGGCCAGTATTCCATTTCCCAATCTTCTAATTCATCGTCTTCCAGCCCTTTCTCCTTGTTCTTTCGCCAAAACCAGTACATAGCAGAAAAAGAGAGTATTAGAATCAGAACAGAGCCCACTGTAATTCCAGCGATGCCCCCGGGTGGCAAGGAAGATGACGACGTTTTGGGCAAGAAAGTAGGTAAATTTGTGGTGTTGATTTCCCTGGCAAAGCTGATGTTGCTGAAGCTCCACGCTAAAATCCTCTGTTCCTCGAAATAGGTGTTCTCCGACGCAGAGAAGCCCACGTACATTTCTGCAGAGATATAGTTGGCAATCAGTTGATCTTTGTATGACAGCAGAGGTTTTAGCGGTCGAGATATTCCAACAGGAGCAATAGTAACATCAATCTGTGATAGAGGCCCATCAAATTCGATCCAAGCCTGAATATTCTGCCCGTTTCGCATGATCACCGGGACGATCCCACCGCTGGAATTGTAGTACCTGGCTTCTTCAGTCTTCGCGGATACGACGTTATTGAGGTCAATCCCAATGTGGTTGTTGCTCGGGTCAGCCAATTCCGTGTGTTGCCCAATATCGAACTCGACGGCGAGGAGTGGGGCGGCGGGGGGCTGAGGGGCGTCGGAGAAGAGCCCAAAGTACTGACCTGAGAGGGCGCCGTCCGGTCGGGTCGAGTTGGAGAGCACGAAGGCGATGCCCCAGCGGGGTTGGTGCTGCTTTCGGGCAAGATCGAGAAGACAAAGGAGGTTGAAAATGAAGAAAGTACGGTCGAATTTGAACTGGGTTTCATCAGGACATTAGACCGATAAAAGACTCGGCCTAAGGAGAACCGGTCCGACTCGTTGTCGAGTCGGATCACTGGCGAGTCGATATGGGCGTCTTGGATGAGGTCGAGAGAGGCGGCGGCGCTGGCATTGAAGGAATTGAAGAGGAAGTCAAGCGCAGAAACGGAAGGTGAGAGTGTGAGGTAGAGGATGAGAAGGATGAAGGATGGGGATGTCCGGTTGGATGCCGGCGGTTGAGGGCGATAATCGCCGCCGCGGAGATAGATGAAGAAGGAAAATGGGTTCATTCTCCGGTATTCTGTGGTAGGAGCTCTGGGGAAAGCAGGATCTGCGCGAGTTTTGCATGACTGGTGGCTTCGGGGTCTTTAACAAGTCTCACTCAATTAATGAGCAACTGACTGGCATTCCGCATTCGACAAGGCAAACGGGCCCACGTGTGTTGTAACGTCAGCCAGTTTAATTAATTCCAAAAAAAAAAGAAAAAAAAATCATTTTTATGGATATTTCGTCTCAATTATTTTAATTATTTGGTTTAATATAAAAAAATTTAAATTTTTAAAATAAAAATGTTATAGAAAAGGAAAAAAAATACATATATCCGATTTTTTAGATGTTTATATATTTTTATCAAGTAACTATATAAGAGAATAATTTTTTAAAATTTATGTGAAAGCCGTTACATGGAAATTCGGAAACTATAAATCTAATTATTATATTTTTTAAACAAAATATTCCAAAAAAATTCAGAATATTCAAACGGGTCAACCGGAGC